TCTTTATTGATAATAAAGAAAGGATATATTTTATTGTCACATAAAAGTCAGAAACAGGAATCAATCATTAAATGACATTGTCTTACTCATGTATGAGCTGTTAGACCCACGAGGATACTGATGTATGAGATATAAGACTCCCGGGGATTCAGCCCAATAATATATAAAATAATATAATACATACACTTGTGGAATTAGACTCGGGTGAATAAAACAAATATGACAATTGAATATATGAATTTTATGTTTGACATCCATGTTAGGCACCATGACTACCAGACTATCAGGCGCCCGGGCTTTCAGTCACGTATGGAATTAAGAGCACTTTTTTATATACTGCAAAACAAAGCTGTCTTCGCTTCGTTGAATACTGGGGAGAATGGGTGGTCTAATGGTTTAAGGCGTCCGTGTGAAATCACAAGATCTATCATTGAGTCAAGTGGCGTGGTTTCGATTCTCCGCTTGAACGTGTCAAGGAGTAGGATCGCCAGTCCAACCTCGCGGGTTTTCGCCGGTTCCTCCCACTGCTAAAGACCCTGCACGCAAGCGAATTATTGAAATAAAATTGAACCATATATTAGTCCTGAAATCACCTAGTCTGTGTCGAGTGGACGTTAAACCCCATTTCTCTCACTTTTCATCATATTCCAGTCGGAGGTGGGGGTGGATGGCCAAATGGTTAGCACGTGCGCGCTGTATCATAAGGTCTGTCATTGAGTCAACGTCAACAGACGTGATTTGGATTCCCCGGTTGTACGTGACAAGGAGTAGAGTCGCCTTTCCAACCTCGTGGGTTATCTCCGGGTCCTCAGGTTTCCTCCCACTGCTAAAGACCCCTGCGCGCAAGCGAATTATTGAAATAAAATTGAACCATATATTAGTCCTGAAATCACCTAGTCTGTGTCGAGTGGACGTTAAACCTCATTTCTCTCTCTTCATTGGATTCCAGCTGGTAATGGTTATTTAACGTGAGAGAGAGAGAGAGAGAGAGAGAGAGAGAGAGGGAGAGTTCCACGTCAGGTTCTCCATCCTACATCACTGACAAGAGGCAACCAGGAACACTCTCGACCAACTCCGTTATCGAACTCAGAGCCTTAATCACTGAACCAATATGTACAAGTTATTAAGTGTCACGTGTGTGTAGGTCTCCATCTGTCAGCAGTAAATCTATAAAATATATGCAACCTTGTCAATGCCTTGCTTGTTAGCCATAAATATTACTCACCCAAACATCGATCGTAATGGCTTGTCAATTTTAATAATTCACGTTTATTTTCTGCATGACTCTTTCCAGTTATTATCGCCTAGTTATTGGTTTTGTTTACAGGCATAGTGTGTGGAGGATATTTTATCACAAATATCGATTTAAACCCAGAAAGACGAGCTATTAGTTTATTATTAATGTTTGCAGTGTAATCAACTATACATGTTGAATATGGCGTAGATTGCATCCAAATAAAATTATATGAATTAATGTCTTACTACCAGGCTAATAATAGAGACGTTTTGACTTGGCAGAGGCACTACAACAAATATTTATTTCGATTTCCAACTGTGATGACATCTTTAACGTGTTGCCAATTGTATATACGGTGGAATATAGGAGAGCGAGATGAAAGAGAGAGTGCCGCTCGGGTGGTCCACCCCCCCCCCCCCCCTCCGACACTCACGAAAGACAAACACCACGAAGATAATACACATTAAGCAGTCCTTTCGTGGAGCAAGAACGAGCGCCGTATAATAAACCAGGAACTTCAAAGCCGTCTTCCAATTATGACGTCAATGAATGCGCAATTGTCCAAAGTACAAGCATGCCGAGTTTCATCAAAATGAGTTCACCTTTGATAGCTGGAATTTGATAAAAAGTAGGGGTGAAATTCCACTGTCCGGTCAAAATGCCCCAAACAGAATACTGTATGGAGTATGCTCGTCTACATTAGCCCAGTCGGTGCAGAAGAGAGAGAGAGAGAAATGGGGTTTAACGTCCCCTCGACACAAACTAGGTCATTTCGGGACTAACACATGGTTTAATTTTATTTCAATAATTCGCTTGCGCGTAGGGGTCTTTAGCAATGGGAGGAAACCTGAGGACCCGGAGAAAACCCACGAGGTTGGACAGGCGACCCTTCTCCTTGTCACGTACAACCGGGGATTCGAAACCACGCCAGTTGACTCAATGACGGGTCTTATGATACAGCGCGCACGTGCTAACCATTCGACCATCCAACCCCCCCCCCCCATGTTCACGAAGCAACGACTGCGAGTTTTACAACATCTGGACGCTGCTTGTTTTCTTCACAATTCCCGAACTCATAGCTCTGTTATCTACAGACAAATGAGCAGTAGCGTCCAATGAGAGGTTGTTACATCGCGACCTCCACGGAAACCTTGACTTGAATGAACCTTGAACTTTGCAACTCGATTATCACAGGTAGACATTTTAGCTTGAAAGCGCGAGACTTGGTATTCGCGACGATCGAGGAATCTAATAGGCTCACAAGCTGGGCTTGTACCCAAATCAAATTAGTGCCTAAATATGCAGGGTATTACGGGAAGGCCTTGATTAGATGTACGTAGTTAAAGCGAGATCAAGCCTTCTATTGAAGATGCATTATCCCAGTCAATGAAGAAAAGTAGGACGTTAAACCCCATTACATTTTAATTTATTAGGCATTGAAGGGAGATGGTTTAATTGACGTTGACTCAACCCAGGCTAGGTCATTTCACTTGGGCGTAGGAGTCTTTTAGGGTGAGAAAAAATCGGAGAACTGAGAGATTAAAACAGATGTATGTACGCAACTGTTAATGTATAGCTGTGGGCTAAAGTGTTAAAATAAAGTTTGTCACACGTAAAACAAAAATCTACAAGATAAACCTGCGGACAAGACAGAAAATAGAAATTGCACCAAATAAACAATTATCAAATTAAGTGAATGGATCCGCGGGCCAGCCGTAAGCGACCACTGCGCTGTACAGTCCCGGGCCTGTAGTGACACAGACTTCACTCAAATTTGAAAACAATCAGGAATACAAAAAAGACGTAACAGAAATAATGCATGTCTACGTCGTCAAGCAATAACTGTTCTATAGACTATAGTATATACTTGATAAATTCCTGCGCTAAAGTCGATGTAACTGGTGCCGGGTGGGATGACTCATCATAGCGTTTTAATCGATACACGATTACATATCTGTCAGTAATAAAATACAGAGAGATTACCGTCAACTCGAATCTGGACAGCCGCACTACTGTTGTGACAGCAAAGGAGGACGTTAGCTCTCGTTTTATTTCTTATGCGTGTGGTTTTAAGTTAAACTAGATTAGCTGCAATCTTATATTGATGTAGACTATGTCAGTAGGGTACAATCAACAGGTGATTAAGTAGAATATAAAGACGTATTGATCGAGTCTATTAATGGACGATAAAATACATCGGTTTTTTTTAAATCAATTGTTTCATTCTTCATCACATAAACTGTCAAAGTTTGCATAATGCATGTATCGTCAATTCGAATCTGCTAAATTCGGGACGCTCGTGCTTCTGTAGTAATGAGAGAAGGAGAGAGAGTTTTAAGGTCCACTCGACACAAACTAGGTTATTCCGGGACTAACAAATAGTTCAATTTTATTTCAATTAATCGCTTGCGCGTAGGGGTCTTACTCTTTAGCAGTGGGAGGGAACAGGAGGACACGGAGAAAACCCACGAGGTTGGACAGACGACCCTATAATCCTTGTCACATACAATCGGGGAATCGAAACCCCGCCAGTTGACTCAATGACAGACCTTATGATACAGCACGCACGTACTAACCGTTCGGCCATCCAACCCCCCTCTGTAGTAATGGGAGTTTTCCGAGGTACTTTTGCAGATCCCACAAGAGTTGTTAGAAGACCTTGACGTTATTAATTGATTTGCGTCACAATCAGCCTTGGAGCGAATCCATGATGTTCATGGTGTACAGGTATTACTATGCACGCGATAGCCTGCTCCCAAGCCTCAAGCAAACAACTAGAGAATCATAGTCTAAACATAAATCAGTAATAAATAGTAATTGCATTCCGTGGAATGGTGCCAAGTGCACAATTATTTTGAATTATATCATATAGCATCCAATAATTATTCCGTTCAAACATAAATTGTAAACATACTCTCCTTGTATATCCTATATATATTTTCATTGTATGTAGTGTTGTATGTGTGTTTTATCCGATGAGTCTTTGGCCTAAGGGAATAAAGAACTAGAATTAGACCACTACAATCGGAGATTAGTATCTATTAATTTCATACCGCCATGTTGACTGCTATCATTTCCGAAATCTCTAAGAGCCTCACCAGTGACCGTCGTCTAATGCCCCAAGTACATTCTGAACATCAGAGACACGCTACCTGCGAAAAAAAAGCCAGCTACCATTTAATTTTCATACGTTAGTTACGTACGGCCCCAAGTAGTGTGTTATTAATAAAAATAGAAATTATCCTCATTTTCATTATCATCGTCCTCATTGTCATAATCATCGTAATCGTCCAAATCATCATCATCATTATCATCATCGTCGTCATTGTCATCATCATCATCATCCCCATTATCATTATCCTCATCACCGTAATCATCATCCTCATTATCATCATCGCAATCATCATCATCATCATCCTCATTATCATCATCGTAATTATCCAAATCATCATCATCCCCATCATCGTCATCATCCTCTGCCCCATCATCATCATCTTAATCATCCAAATCATCATCATCCCCATTATTATCATCACCACTATCATCATCCCCATTATCATCATCGTCATCATCATCCCCATTATCATCATCTTAATCATCCAAATCATCATTATCACCATCAACATTAAGATCATCCCCATTATCATCATCGTAATCATCATCATCATTTATCACCATCGTCATCGTCATTGATCGTACTTTTTTTTATGTACGTTTTAAAATTATGATAATTATTATGATTTGATTATTATTGTTATTACAGTGTTTGTTTTGGGTGTGTGTCAAGGCGGGGAAACCGAGGAATGTCCCAAGAACAGTGCGGATCAAGTTAAGCAATGTTTGAGTGAAACGAATTTAGGTATAACAGATGGTAAACCACATGCCCTAGCTCTAGATGCTGAAGTTACAATGGATTTGTGCAGGTTAGTCGTTAGTAGATTATTTTTTTGTCTAGACAAATAAAGTCCCGTCTCACATGTTCGTTGCGGTAGTCGATGTCATTGATTTGCCAATACTGCCCGTTTGGAGATGTTCGACATGTCAACCGTTTTGAGATGTTCGACATACAAACCTTTTGGACATATTAACCATTTGGATATATTTGACATCCTGTCCGTTCTGGTTGGGCTGATGTAATTTCTAGAACCTTCATGTGGCGGCGGCGGCCTTCAATATCCTTTTGGACACTTCCTGGGATATGTGCTATTCTTTTGGCTAAATCATATTCCCATCGACTGAACAATTCATGGTGTATTTTCCGACAATTCTTGAGATATATTCCATTTGTTAGATCAATTAAATATTGGCGTAATATTTACAATAATCGTCGGATTTTAACATGTGATATATTTAAACATAGCCGGTTACAGGGCACATGGCTACTATGCTTAAGCTTTTTGATTTTCGACGAATTTTTGCAGATATTAGGTGCCAAAGTTTGAAAATTAATTTTTTTTACAAAAAACTTTATTTATGAATATTTTTTATTCTATTTTACGCGGGATTAAAGGGGGGTCCGACTTGAGCAAAAATGTGAACAAATGAGCAAAAATTGGTTATTTCTCGGCAAGGGAATATGTTAGAAACATTGGTTTGATAACTATATGATCGTACTGATTCATACTATTTGTCGATTGGAATCAAATATAACTTTATACGAATAATGATTTTCCTTTATTTTAAACAAATATTTATTTTGGAGGCTAAAAATACAGTTTTTGCCAAAATGACGTAACTTAAGGCGATAATGAAAATTCTAAATTAGTTTCATGAAATCGTAAATGGCATTAGGCATTACATAGTGAAATTTTTTTATGAAAATCGAAAATGTTATTGGCACTTTTATGGACCTAAAAACTTGTAAAGTGACTTGAAGAAAATTGTCTATTTCCCAGCAACTGAACAAGTTAGAAACTATTTTGTGATATCTATAGGATCACATGGGTTCATTCTATTTGTTAATTGGAATCAAATATTTTAATTATAAACAAATAACAAAACAGCTTTTGCCCAAATGACTCCATTTTCGGTGACAGCAAAAATGTTAAATTGGTTTGACCTAGTCATAAGTGGCATTTGGCATCAAGTGGTAAAAACAAACATTGAAAATCGATTTATAATTGAAACTTTTTTGGACAAAAATCCCTGGACATTGACTGATGTGAAATCGCCAATTTCTCGACAACGCACCAAGTTATAAACTGATTTTGAAATAGATTGTCTTCGTATCGATTGATACTACAAGTTTATAAAAGCTACGAAGAAATATTTTAAAATATGAAAAGCCTGAATGGGTTGTAAGTAGATCATCTTTACACTCTTTCCACCCTTAAAACGAAATGACGCAAATACAAAACCGAAATAAAAAAAACCACCCCAAAACTGAGCCAGACATATTTTGTTCCTTTAGTATGAGCATTCATTCATCTTGATCTATCAAATTTTTAAACATTAATATTTGCTTTGAACTATCAAAATTGAAGTTTTTAGTAAAATTACGTCACTTCCGGTGCCGACAGAAGACTTTATCGGTAACAAAAAAAAGGGACACTTTGTTTTATACAAGTCGAACAATTAATAATTAATCTAGGAACGAACAACTATATTAATATTATAGTGCTGGGATGTTTTTTTATAGATATTTTTTATATATATTCATATTACAGTACTGGGATGTAATTTAAAGATATTTATAAAAGTTCTATTAATATTATACTACTGGGATGTAATTTATAGATATTTATATATCTTATATTAATATTATACTACTAGGATGTAATTTATAGATATTTATATAAGTCATATATTTATGTTATAGTACTGGGAAGTTACAGAGAGCTGTAGACTGTATGGGTAAAATTTATAAAGCTTGTGCCAATGACATGGAAGCCATGAATGTACTAAGTATGGAAGCAAGTGTGCCTGATTGGAAAGCGGCCTCCAAAAAACTGTGTGATAATGTAAATGGTAAGCTGTGTTATACTTAGCCACTAAACCCACAGCAAGCAAGCACGCACGCACGCACTCATCATCACCCATCTTCACACACACTGATGCGTGTATTTATCATTGATACAATTTATGTAATTGGATTCGAGATCGAGGGATCTTGCGTCTAATGTCCTGTTTCATTTGTGCAGATTCACTTGGCTCAGTAAGGCTCTGAATCATTAGCGACAACGTTCCCTGTTTTTTTTCCAGTGGTTCGCGTAAAAGAACCCTTGACAGTTGGAATTCTATTGCTGCCCGTCTTTATTATCCCGGTCACCGCACTTCATTCATTCATTCATTCATTCATTCCGTCTTCATTAGCCCAGTCGGAGCAGAACAGTAGGGCGTTAAACCCCATTTCAATATTCATTCATTCATTTTTGTATAATATCAATAATTCACCAATTCCCTTGCATGTATAAGGGGTAAGCAGTGGGATATTATCGCAGAACCCGGAGAAACCCCACGAGATTAAGCAGGTGAACCTAATCCTTGTCACATATTTTAATTCTAGTGGGGGGGGGGGCGGAATGGTGCGCGTTGTATAAGGTCTGTCATTAATTAACCTAACGTGGGTTTCGATTCCCCGGTTGTACGTGACAAAGAGTAGGGTCGCCTGTCCAACCATGTGTTTTTTTTCGGGTCCTCCTACTGCTAAAAGACCTCCTACGCGCAAGCGAATTATTGAAATAAAATTGAACCATGTTAGTCCCGAAATGACCTAGTTTGTGTCAAGTGGACGTAAAAATACCATTTAGCTCTCTTTAATTCTAGTACACCGCGGCGTTGACTTGGTAATTTATTGTTTGTCTATTTGTTTTGTAGTTATTAAGGAGAGTGGGGAATGTTTAAATAAAGATCAAGAAGCGACCAGGCTTTGTGTATCCACCCAAAAAACAGCCTTTGAAGGAGAAATGAACGCCAAGGTGTTGACGTCACATAATGATATGAACGCCTTAATGGGCGTGGCATGCTCGTAAGTTACAGCTTTGTCCGCTATTGAATTTGGGATATTATGTTCCGGATGTCGCTCAACACGTGTAAAGCGTCGATTCATTATCAGGATTTACCTGAAAACGTTTGTGGGAATTTTTTTCGGTGTAGCTTTCCGTTGTCATTGGTGCAGGATAAAGCATACGTGGCAAGGAATAGTATCTAGTCGTTTGGATAGTCAAAAAATACAGGGCCCGCGTATATAGACATTGGTCTACTTGTTAATGATCCATTGACAGTTTCGGGATTTTCCGACGTGGTTTCCCCTTGTCAGTGGTGCAGGACGGAGGGTCTGGCAAGGGCAGCTGTCTAGTTGTTCGGATGGAACGAAAAACCGAGGTCCCGTGTACACATTGGCGTAGACGTAAAGGATCCCTTGGCAGTTAGAATTCGATGTAAGAGTAGGCCATACTATGTAAGAAAATGCGACAAACCACGTGATCCCAATTGCGTATTCACTGGTGTCTACTGATAAACTGTGATTTTTCGTTATGTAGTTTGAGTCATTATATGTGTCTCTGACTAGTCTCTGTCTACGGTTGTATGCCTTCTGACTTACCACGTTTGTGTCATTCTGTGTGTCTATGACTCGTTTCTGTCTACAGTTGTATGCCGTCTTTAACTTACCATTACGATGTTTTTATTTTGCAAAATTTAAATATTTTTCATTTATATTTAGTCGGTATGCTGCTTTTTTTGTATGTGTTCGAAGGTGTGCCGTTGGCAAAAAAAAGGGTTGAAAACGATTGCTTTACATTCTCTATTACTGTCTGTGTTTCAGATATAGCACCAATATAATGAAATGTATCAAGAAGCCATTGGTGAAGAACTGTCCAGACAATCTCAAATCGCTCGTCCTGGATGTCTTCCGATTACTACTACCTCCACCATGTAAACCGGCACCGGACTCAGGATCAACGGATGTTGCCGGTTACGACACTGTCTCCGACGACAAAAGCAAACCAAAGAATGTAGGATCAAGTGTGACATCTCGTACAACTTTAATTGTCCTTGTATCTAGTTTTATTTTGTTTAAATTGTGGTAAATCGTGTTGTTTGTTTTTTGTACATTATTTTGTGTGCTTTTTACGCTGCCATGTTTAAGAATTGTCTTAGTTTAAGGTCGATGTGATGACTGGCTAAAGGGACAGGTACATTATTTTTTGTGCTTTTTACACTGCCATGTTTAAGAATTGTAAGGTCGATTGTGATGACCGGCTAAAGGGACAAACAATCGGTTTCTGCGATAAACCGCATTTTAATAGCCAGTAAAGTCCCAGACGACATGAAATGAATGCGATCAAAATAATTTATGCGTCCTACCGATGGATGAAAGTCTGACATAAAGGATCATGTTGATTTCATAAAGCATCCATGTTTTATAATCAGGGTTTCACCAGGCGTGATAAATGTCATCTACACGATTTCTTTGCTTATTTTAGATTTGTACATATTTTATTTTCAACTACAATTTTGAAATGAAATGGGGGTTTAACGTCCTACTATTCTGCTTCTAACCTGGGCTAATCAAGACGGGCATACGCCATACAGTGTGCGATGAGGGAAATTTTGCCCGGGCAGCGGCGCTACGGCCTACTCTTATATCGAATTCCAACTGCCAATAGTTTTTAATTCTATGAGCAGAAGCAATAAGATGACGTCACGGATTGTTTATTGACGGAAAGTTACGACTACCCACGGAGAATGGCGGAAATTACTAACGTTGAAATTTACCTGTTGCAGGTAATATTGATATTCGGATTCGTGTGATACTTATGGAAAGGATATATTGACAAAATTACTTGCAATATTTTAAAAAATTATGAAGCTTTTCCGGTGGCCTTTAACAACAGCAATTTAAGATTTATATCAGGAAGATAAAGATGGGCAAACCCTGATGTATATTAATTTTCTTTAGATCGCATTCATTTTATGACGCATAAATTTCTCGTATTTCATTCATTTGTCAGGTCACTATCTTCCTTATGACAATTCTTGCCTGTATACTATTTTTTCTAAAAGTTTGGTAATATTTTTTGGGACATAAAACTAGTGTATTAAAGACACACAGCAACCAGGTATGACGAATGGTTACCAGTCCATTTGCTGATTACACTATTTTGCCTATAACGTTTCTTTAGGACTTCGAATTTTGTCTAAGGTTTGGATTGTTCGTACTTGGTTTTATTTTATTTGTGTACAAATGGAGATGATACTCAACACGACCAGGCCATTGTCGTAATTCGTTTTTTCTAGAATTGGATTGATCCATAGCGCTCTTATTTGTAGGAAGATACTGGATAACCGAGTTAGAGAAACCTATTCGTTGTAACTGTCGTGGAAACGTTCTAACACACGGCTTACTTAGATGCAGGGTCATATAATTCATAGGACAGACTATCTCGGACACCCAGTTCCCCAGGCCTACAGCTTTGATGAATAATTTCATGTCATTGCTGTTGTTGAATATCGCTTAAGTTGCTTTTAACGTGACGTAACCTGTTTTATATAAATCAACAAATAGATAAACGTACATGTATTGACACTTAATCGGAATCACGTGATACAATCTGGAAAGTTGACACAACTGTAAAGCTAGCGGCCCATACACGTTCAATTTCTTCGTCAATTGATTGATTGACGAAAAACTTGAACGTGTATGGTCCGCTTTAGCTTTGTTAGATATTTTGTATAAATTAGAAGTGGCACACTAGGTGGTCTAGGAATCGTCAACTATATTGACTTAGAGTTCACTAAATAGGTGGCGCTGCACGGATGTAGTTAGCAAGAGTTATTGTTCTTGGATACCTAAGACAACATGGCCGTCATTCAGAATTTACTATACCTAGGGAAATATGAAGAGGTGGGTTTCCTGCTCTGATTTCCCTACTGGTTATGGAGAACGCACGTGCTTAGATTTAGGGTTGGTCAGGTGTGCCATCCAGTCGCGTGTCCTTTAATCCTTGAAATTCCATATTTAAAGTCAATGAATGACTGGATCTTCACGCATGTTTAAGGTAGTCGGCATTTTACAGCCACCATTAATCTGAGTAATTTCAGTCAATAATGGTAGTCGGCATTTTACAGCCACCCGCAATCTGAGTAGAACTAAGAATTTGAGTCAGCAATGAAAGGTTTAATTTTATAATTGCCATATAATAAATGTTTGTTATTATACGTAGTAAAAAAACAACAAATAGTTTGTACATTCATTTTTAAATTTTCCAGTTTTCAATGTAAATACAAACAACTTTGTTGTCCCGGTTTTCTATTAGACGTTTATAACTCACATGTCCATGTTTCATAATAAATTCGATTTGTTCCAAACGGCTATATGTCAACACTCACAGATTGATGTAACTAAATATGTACAGTCATTTTAGTAAATAAATAATTTGTTTCCGATAAAAGGTGTCTTAATGGAGTTATCTCCCATTATACATAAGCATGTATCCCGGCCATGGACCCAACAACGTTACTTTAGGTGGATTTGATTTGGGGTTTGTGGTTTCAATCGCCTGCACCGTGCACCCATAGCCCATTGCTCGGGGTGGGACGGTAACTTTAATCCCGGTTGCAGTTGTTTATTACAAATGTAAGGTCCAATAAATTGTATTATTGTATTACTCCGCCTGGTTTTGAGAGAGAGAGAGGGGGATTACCGTCCACTTGACAAAACTAGGTCATTTCGGGACTAACATATGGTCCAATTTCATTTCAATAATTCGCTTGCGCGTAGGAGTCCTTAGCAGTGGGAGGAAACCAGAGGACTCAAAGAAAACCCACGAGGTTGGACAGGCGACCTTCTCCTTGTCACGTACACCCGGGGAATCGAAACCACGCCAGTTGACTCAATGACAGACCTTATGATACAACGTGCACGTACTAACCATTAGGCCATCCACCCCTCCCTCTCGTTTATTAAAGATGTAATTACAAACACTAATAGGGGGTTGGTCGTTGAGTCAAATGGCATGGTGTCGATTTCCGCTTGTACGTGGCCAGGAATCGGAGAGCCTGTCCAAACATATAAGTTTTCTCCGGTTTCCTCCCACTGCTAAAGAACCCTAGCGAATTATTGAGATAAAATTAAACGATATGTTAGTACAATATCCCCCCTCTCGCACACAGATACTAAATTAAGAAATTGTTAGAGCGAGAACACACAGTAAATGTGTTACAAGAACAAAAGGGGTAATCACTGACACCGCCAAGACAGACTTTCTGTATGTACATGCTAAGCATTCGAAAGATTTATGTCCTGCCATTTTATAAAAACATATTCCTATCTTCACAAAACAATTTACCCTCTTTGTCTTGAGTATTTTACTGGTGCTCTTTCATAATATTACCAATGATTGATTAATTATTCTCAGACAAAAGTTAGTAAAATTAAAAAAACGATATGGAATTTTTATGCCAGATAAGGGTTCACATAAATGAATTTGTCCATGGTCGGATCCATCTCTCTATTCACCAAGAAGATATTTCTTAGAAAAATATCCCACCACATCTGTTCTCATGGTCTAAAACTACCCTAATAACGTTAATAGCAATCTACAATCATGTGGTCAACCTCTCGAAGGCATGCCCCCACCCCCAAAGACTCCAGTAGAGAGCACAATACTCAAAAATATGAGGGTGGGGGATGTTTAATTTATAAAATTAATATGATGCCGCCTTGAATTTGATGCCACCTCCATTACACCATCTACACGGAAATGCCTAGACCTTGTGACCCTACGATTTCTATCGTTCCTCAAGCAGAACTCAATAAGATATCACTTGTACTTCCCGAACACGGACCAGTGAGTAGACACTGTTATATATACAGTTTGTTGCGATTGTTTGCGTCTTATTATTCATACACAACATAAGACTATAATAAGTACGTAGGCTTATGACGTGTAACAAATAATATACACCTTGTCCAAAGCCGCCCCCTGCTCTTTAAATCGTGAGGCCCTAAGCTTCAGTCTGCCACTGTTTATAGTATATTTTATTTACACTGCAGTCTCTTGATTTTGATCTCCCAATCCTGTAACGGGACCTGCATCTCCTTTATTAATTTGACGCTCATCAGACCAATATTCTTTCTGTTGACAAGATGTCAAGCGAACAGAACTAACGTCTTCACCCCCGCGACAGCTTGATACACGGGTGTAATAAATGTCGTATATAATAGGCCTCGCTAGAAAAAAACCTACGCCAGTTCCAAGACACACACAAGCTAAAATCCAGATATTGTAGGTCATAACACACAGCATGATGACATTAGCGAGTAAAACTTGTCCTCCGTGCCAACAACCGCGGATAAAATGATCCATTAATTTCCTTATTCTTCCTCTTACATCTGATCTGAAACAGCAAGTAATTGAAGCCGAATTAGCTCTGTAAATGCGTTCAGTATTTTATCAGTGAATTTGGAGTCCATAAGAAGCAGCGAAGGCAACATACTCCCAGCTTGTCAACCAGATTAAAGTAGGATATTTACATATGCGGGACTATCTTATGAAGATACATCCATTCGTTAATTAAACATTTAATGCGAGTGGCATTGATGTTTGAAATGGTGTTGTAGCCTAGTACCGCGTTCACAAACCATCCCCAGACTTGAGTTAAACATGCATTATGCAAGAGCTAAATCTGATTATTGCAAGTCTTAATTTAGGCTTCAGATGTTATAGAAATTATAAATTAGATCTTTATTTAAACAACAAGACCAAAATCAACTCTGTAGACCCACGGATGGCTCGGCTACAGCTCGGATTTAAATAGGATTTCACTAATTGATTAAATCAGATAAGGGGTAACCTGATGAAAATACGCCAGTTAGATCGAGGCTAAATGATAGAGTGTACTTAGCGAGGCCGCTGTAAAGCGTTTCCGTATGTCATTGAAAACTATACTTGATAATCGAGATATGTAGGTGGAGTTAACGCCTGTCAATCAAACGTTCGGCAAAGGTGAAGACACATTTCGCTACCATTTCTAGGCAAATATTACAACGATGATAATTATGTTTAGAATAAAGTAATTTGACTGAATTTTTCAATATATTCTTCTTTCATCATCTACTTTTGAACTGTTATAGCAAGAATGGCCAACTCTCTATAAATATCTCCCATAATGTATCTTTAAGAATTTACTCAAAATGTTCGCCTTATTTTCACTAAAACACAGCCCTTGATGAAACATTTGTTGTTTTAATATATGAAATACACCAAGTTTGGATTCTTTTGAAGGGTGGATAAAACAACTCAGTTAACCAGAAATAAAGCTTTTGCCTTTTTAATGTTCAACCAATCAAACTGTGGTTTAAGTTCGTAAAACACGCACAGCAGAGATTACAAATTGAGTAGACTCGGTTGTCACGAATATAATACAAACTTTTACTAGTTTACTGTTAAGTCAAATCAAATATTATTAATTTTATCAATCAGTGGATATCAGCTATACTAATCGCGGTGACAGTTTTAATGGTGATATTTTTATATAGGGTTTCTAATTCATAGAGATGAAATGAGGTGTAACGTTCTACTGTGGTGCACAGAGTGGGATAATTTGCATACCATATGCAATGTTGCCGGAAGGTAATCCGGCTGTTCGTCTCATTCGAAAGACTAGAAGTTGTATTTGTCAAGCCCTCCGCCATGCACCCCTGTAAAGGGTAACCATGATGCCCTTGCCAGGCCCATCGTAGTGCACCACTGTCAAGGGGGGGGGGGGAACCACGCAGTAAAATCCCCGTGAACATTTTGGAACAACTGCAGGAGCAAACCCAGGACGTCCTAGTCAGCAAGCCACTGCCTTACTCACTGAGCCACCGTTGTTTACTCCAATTCATAGCTCGGATTATGCTTTTTGTTCAGCAGCAAATACCATTTTTACTTTTGGTTTTGATAGACACGTAGAATCTCGAAACCATGTTTAAGATCCCGGCATTCAAACAAACATATCCTTTAAAAATTCAGCAATGGCATCATTGAATAATGCCATTGGCATTTATTATAAATAAAGCGGACCTGGTATTATAGCAATGACATCATTGAATAAGGCCGTCGACAGCTACTATAAATAGAGAGATGAACACCAGCTTACCTATTATCTATATGTCTGTCTGATTTGTAATAATCTGAGAGATGCAGGTAAAACTTAATACATTCTAGAAATAATGCCAAGCTGAAGGAAAACACCAAGGCAGTGCCAATACCTGAAGAAATTAATACATAGCATGATTTTAATTTTGTTTCAGGGAGATGTACTGTAACATGAACTAGACAACAGTTACTTCCCTTTATAGCATTCCTACCTATATCTTCCCATGTGCGGTTGTGGTTTCGATAATTGATGTGCGCGGTATGGCTTGGAGATGCGAACGCCTTCTCAACCTTATGGGTTTACACTTCGGGTATTCCGGTTTCCTCCCACGTGAAGAGCAACATGTCTGCGATATCACCCTAAGTGGGATTGGATGTTAAACCCCACAAGTTTATGGGACCGACGGATTGCTTCCTACTATGAATGATTCAACTGAGCTCCTGTGGTAGTTAGTAGTAGCTGTAGTGCAATCCATATTTTTTAACGTGTTTTTTTAAACTGCTTGTCAAAGTTCGTGGAATAAACATCGAAAATAAATGCGGTCTTCTTCCAACCTTTAACTTTGTTTAGAAATGAATTATCTCCCTTGGATCACATTTTGTTAACCAACTTTGGACACCCCTTCCCTTCGCAATTAACAAAACACGTGTGGTGTACTTGTAGTGACGGATGCGAACAACTCAGCAATCTGTTTTACAGAGGTATTGCGAATAGTCTTCTTATATCTCTGTAAAGATGACAGCTTTTAACATGCGACGTCACATCACGTGCGTCAATCATTGGCTCAATGGTGCGTGTATTGTTTACATAAGACGTTACTGGTCCGGCTTTTTTATTTTTCTAATACTTAAAAAAGGGAAAGGGTTAATATTTAGGGGTCATTACGCTGCACCGATGTCATCCTTATCAGTGATTGTAGCGGCCTAGCGAATATTCACTGCTGATCAGTGTGGGCATAGCTAACATGTCATTAGGTTATTTTGGAAGTAGGCTAAACGGTTTAGTTCCAATTCAATACAGTTGCCATGGTGATACTGTGAATATTGCACTAGAGAAAATCACTGTATGGAATCCTCTTATCAGTGTTGTCATGCCTTGACATTGGACAGCGTCTAGTAACCCGGATGACACTTAAAAACAGAGGTCTCTCTTAAACTATTGACAGCCCGACAGAAATCGAAATAAACGTAGGCCCGTAGCGAGCAACATTTCACCCACATAGTTGCCCGCTCGGTGCTCAACCCCATATAATTTCATTATATTTTGACACTGACATAGCACTACATCACGTGACAAGTGTACGCCGAATCAGTTCAACACTGACCTAGAACTACATCACGTGACAGGTGTACGCCGACTCAGTTCAACACTGACCTAGAACTACATCACGTGACAAGTGTACGCTGAGTCAAGTTCCACACTGGCCTAGAACTACATCACGTGACAAGTATACACAAACTGATGATCTGTAATTACCTGTGATATCTGACGTCAGCCACGTGTTGGTCAACATGTAAGAAAACGTTCTGTGACTCAACACCTGTAAATCAAAAACGTTGTCATTTTAATAGCAAAAATAACACGTATCTATGGTGGCTGATAGTGGCCATGTTAAATTTCGCCCTTTTCATAACGCGACAACACGACATCACGACAGTATTGACGCAATCATACGACACTTCATTCTGTCGTATCATCGTGTTATTTTTATCGTAACGTCGAGATGTCGACTTATTGTCCTAGTCTCTTTCTACAAGTCACAAAAATACAGCTGTACTCATTACATCATATATAGGCCTAAGTAGCAGATTTGATAAATATAAAAGAGATAGTAGGAAAACGTTGATTAATTATTTGTTTTCTCAAAATAATGAAACATTTTGTGCCCACAAGTGAATTATATTTGGTATTATATTAAAAAATCTAGAATTACAATAGCAGGACCAAAGTGAGTTAGCTAAGTTAATTCCTTGAAGAAAAAGTGGTGTCGGGAGGTATCGAACAAGTAAGCATTCATTGCCATGTGTACGACACCCACCAATATTTATAGATGACTGGAGCGATAGTTTAAAAGTGATATCAGAAGACAGGGTGGGAAGGTGATTGTAGAAAAACCAAATCGGGCCACATTCTTTAAAATCACAGCATTATTTTTATCATAGTGCAGCACGTCACCCCAATAGTTGCAGGAGTTTTTTTGAATGAGATGGAGAAAACGATTCGCAGCCTGTCATTGAGTCAACTGGCGTGGTTTCGAATCCCCGGTTGTACGTGACAAGGAGTAGGGTCGCCTGTCCAACCTCGTGGGTTTTCTCCGGGTCCTCCGGTTTCCTCCCACTGCTAAAGACCCCTACGCGCAAACGATTTATTGAAATAAAATTAAACCATGTTAGTCCCGAAATGACCTAATTTGTGTCGAGTGGACGTTTAACCCCATTTCCCCCCCCCCTTCTCACTCTCACTCTCTCCCCCCCTCTCTCTCTCTCTCTCTCTCCCGTTTGAAATCACTAATGGGATTGAGGCCTAGATGAGTAAAAATAGGCCCAGTAATATCTTCAACTATGAACACACTCTAAAAGCCTCATACCCCCCCCCCCCCCACGTCACCCCAATAGATGCAGGAGTTTTTTTTTTATGAGGTGGAGAAAACGATTCGCAGCCGTTATTGACCTTATCGCATATAGGCTTGCATCCGTTTGACATCACTAATGGGATTGAGGCCTAGATGAGTAAAAATAGGCCCAGTAATATCTTCAACTATAAATACACTCTAAAAGCCTCATACCCCCCACCCCCACGTCTCTTATTTGGTTTTACAAATAATTCCAGAATCAATAAAATGGTATCAATGATGTTTGATACAACTGGAAAATAATATGTCAAAAATTGATTAAACAACATGAGAAATATTACATATTGAATCCATATTAGTGATAACGTACATTTACTCAATACGTTCTTTCCAATAGATCATCATTTAACTTGAAACAAGGGAAACAGTCGATCGAAGAAAACAGATTTTTTAAAAAAAAAAAAACAGGTTTCAATGTGACAGTAGTGCTTCGGTCATGCATTTACCTCCGAGAGTGCCATCCTTTCTTTGAAAGTAATGATTGTGCCAAATTTGAACAAATTCCATCTAGATTCGCGGCCTGTAGGTAGAGTGTTGACAGATCAAATGTAAAAAAAAAAAAAAAAAAAAAAACCCCAGACCTATAAAAATATATTTTCTTAAACTCTTTTAACTTTGAAATTATATTGTTTTCACATGTGCTAAGTGTTTTAGCGAATATTTATAGAAGGGTCTTGTAGATAAAGACTATAGCGCATGTGCAGTTTTAAACTTCCGAGACGACAAGTCGATGATACGACAGTGTAGTGTTTTGTCGTACCGTCGTATCATCGACTTGTGGCGATAAGTCGATGATACGACAGCACGACAAAATAAGGTCGATGATACGACAAAATCAGACGATCTTACGACAGTTTGTTCTGTCGTAAGATCGCCCGATTTTATCGTAAGATCGTGTGATTTTGTCGTGCCGTCGTATCATCGACTTATCGCCACTGTAAGTCGATGATACGACGACACGACAAAATCACACGATCTTACGACAAAATCACGCGATCTTACGACAGAACAAACTGTCGTAAGATCGCGTGATTTTGTCGTGTCATCGACCCGATTTTGTCGTGCCGTCGTATCATCGACTTATCGCCACGACAAGTCGATGATACGACGGCACGACAAAAAGCGAAACTGTCGTATCATCGACTTGTCGTCTCGGAAGTTTAAAACTGCACAGTGCACATGCGCTATAGTCTTAATCTACAAGACCCTTTCTATAACTATTCACTAAAACACTTAGCACATGTGAAAATAATACAATTTCAAAATTAAAATAGTTTTAGAAAATATATTTTTATAGGTCTGGTTTTTTTTTTACGTTTTATCTGTCAACACTTTACCTACAGGCCGCGAATCTAGATGGACTTTGTTCAAATCTGGCACAATCATTACTTTCAAAGAAAGGATGACACCCACAGATGTAAATGCATGACCGAACCACTACTATCATATTGAAACTTGTTTTTTAAAATCTTTTTTTCTTCGATCGGCTGGTTCCCTTGTTTTCAAGTTAAATGGTGATCCATTGGAAGGAACATTTTGAGTAAATGTATCATTGATACGGATTCAAAATGTAATATTTACTACCCTAAATGTATCATTGATACGGATTCAAAATGTAATATTTACTACCCTATGTTGTTTAATCAATTTTAGACACATTAATTTCCAGTCGTGTCAAACATCATTGATAGGGACCTACCATTTTATTGATTCCGAAATTATTTGTTAAACAAAATAAGGGGGGGGGGGGGTGCGTAGGGGACTTTCGGAGTGTGTTCATAGCTGAAGGCAATACTGGGCCTATTTTTAATCATCTAGGCCCCGATCCCATTAGTGATGCCAAACGGATGAATATGCGATAAGGTCAATAACAGCTGCAAATCGCTTTCTTCACCTCATAAAAAACCTCCCCTGCACTTATTGGGATGGCGTGCTACACCAATGCGGTGATTTTATGTGGTCTGATTTGAGGTTTTATATAATCCCCTTCCCACTCTAATAAAATAAATTGGAAATCTTCTGAAATCGCTTCTAAACTATCGCTTCAGTAATCTATAAGTATTGGTGGGTGTCGTACACGAGGCAATGCATACTTGTTCGATACCTACCGACACCACTTCTTATTCAAGGAATTAACATAGCTGACTCACTTTTGTCCTGCTATTATAATTCTAGATTTTTTGAATATAATACCAAATATAATTCAATTTTGGGCGCAAAATGTTTCATTTTTTTTTAGAAAACGAATCAACGTTTTCCTATTATCTCTTTTGACGAGTCTTATTTATATGTATCTTTTTATATGTATCTGATGTAATGAGTACAGCTGTATTTTTGTGACTTGTAGAAAGAGACTAGGACAATAAGTCGACATCTCGACGTTACGATAAAAATAACACGATGATACGACAGAGTTAAGTGTCGTATGATTGCGTCAATACTGTCGTGATGTCGTGTTGTCGCGCTATGAAAAGGGCGAGATTTAACATGGCCACTATCAGCCACCATACGTATCGGGTCAACTAAAAATAATCTTTCTAAATGATAACCTGAACAACAGAGAGCGACGGATAGAAATGGGGTTTAACGTCAAATTTGGCCATATCGGGACTAACATATGGTTCAGTTTTATTTCGATCATTCGCTTTTGTATCTTGGTCTTTAGCAGTGAGAGAAAACGGGGACGTACAAGCGAGGAATCGAAACCACGCCACTTGACTCAATGAAATATCTTATGATGCAACGCGGACACGTTACCCCCCCCCCACCACCACCCCATCTGAACAGTAGCAATCAAAACTGAATTTAACGCCCTACTCTTCTCCACCAATTGGGCTAGTGAAGACGAGCAAACGCCAGGTTGTCGCTATGACGACATATGTTCCCTCGTCAGCAATTAAAACACCGCGTATAAATCGCTAGATCTTTACAACACATTCTCTTGATAACTTCCGATGTCTACCGGAAGCTAGAACCGTGATATAGTCTCGGTTACGCGGAAGATAGACACAGTATTGAAGGCAAAGCTCTTATTGAATTTCCGGTCTACATTAACCGCTTTCAGTTCACTTTATTTCTGGTTGAATGAGATGAAAAGGCGACACCGTTTCTCTCACACCCCCTGCTACATGTGACGACGTATTTCAAATAACCACACGGGCACTGTGTCAATCGTATATTATGTATACCAGACGACGGAATAAATTGTACTCACGAGTTGTTTTCATAAAAAGAGATCGGGTTGAACATCCTACATTTCTGCACCAACGGAGCTAATAGTTTAAACAATATTTATTTACCATATATTACATACTATATACAATACATAATAATTTATTTGGATTGGGAAACAAGCTATAAAGCTTATATTAATCCGTCTAATGAAGTCGGACATACGCTATACAGTGATCATCGTCGTTATCCGTTCTATTCCACTATACCATGGGTTCATTCACGGGGAAGATACAAAAGTGAAAATATATTTGTGCTGTTTTTAAAGACCAATCGAGTGGGAGAAGGGAAGTAACTCGCATTTTATTGCAACTAAGATTATTGTGGTGAACGTAAACAATGACGCCAAGTCCGGTATGTAAACGGTTTTTTGATTGGTTCGTAAAATCAACCTACAACCAAGGGCAGGTAATTTGACTGTGTCTTCCCGGTGAATAAACCCTGGGTTAAGTAGAGTAGAACGGAACGATATACTGGGGATACCGAGGATGTACAGTGTGCCACGAGAGAAATGTTTCTCGGACAGCAATTGAACTCCAACTGTAAGGAGTTCTTGTACAACTAGACGCTATGTTTTGCGAATCCACAGCTGAGAAGAGGAATTAACACCGGGCTCGAACCCCGGCCCCCCAGGTTAGCGAGCCATCTCCTTACTTACTGAGCCACCATGTCACATGCTTTCATATAAATTCCAGTCACCTGTTACTCAATGTCTCGACCATTAAACCACGGATGGCGACGAAGGTGATGGTGTAATTGATAATATGAGGGCTCGAACCTCGAACTCCGGACCCCTATGTTAACGAGCCGGTGCCTTACTCACTGAGCCACCTAGTCTCATGCTTTTAAATAAATTCCAGTCACATGTTACCCAATGTCTCGACCATTAAACCACGGATGGAGACGAAGGTGATGGTGTAATTGATAATAATATCGAGGCCTCGAACCTCGAACTCCGGACCCCTATGTTAACGAGTCGGTGCCCTACTCGCTGAACCACCGAGTCTCATGCTTTCAAATAAATTCCAGTCACATGTTACCCAATGTCTAACTCTCGACGGATGGCGATGAAGGTGATGATGTAAATGATAACAATGAAGAATGCATGATGTACGTACCGTTGATGGGCTCATCATCATACCAGGTTTGACGTCACCGCTATGTTGGTGCATGTCATGTAGATTGTTCATGCTGGATCATTTATTCGTAAAATTTCTCCAAGATTCAAATCCCTAAATACTATAAATAAAAAGAAAGCATATAGTACCTTCGACCCTAAAAGGTATCCAAAGAGTACGATATATCCTAAAGTATACCATATATCCTAAAGTATACCATATATCCTAGAGTATACCATATATCATAAAGGGTACGATATATCCTAAAATATACGATATACCCTAAAATATACCATATATCCTAAAGTATACCATATATCCCAAAGAGGACGCTATATTCTAAAGTATACCATATATCCTAAAGGGTACCATATGTCCTAAAGTATATCATATATCCTAAAGTATATCATATATCCTAAAGTATATCATATATCCTAAAGTATATCATATATCCTAAAGCGTACCATAGATCCTAAAATATAACATATATCCTAAAGGGTACCTTATTATTATCCTAAAGTATACCATATATCCTAAACAGTACGATATATCCTAATGTATACCATATATACTAAAGGGTACCATATATCCTAAAGCATACCATATTTTCGAAAACATACCACAGATCATACCATATATCCTAAAATATACCATATATCCTAAAGTCTAAAATATCCTAAAGCGTACCATATATTCTAAAGTCTACCGTATATCCTAAAGGGTGTGATATATCCTAAACAGTGCCATGGATCCTGAAGTAGATCTTTAAATATACCATTAATCCTAAAAGTCTCATAGTTTGTATCAGGCATTAACAGTGTCAGTGTTTGTCTTTTAGCCATTCGGTGTCGCTTTAAGACTAATTGCGTCTTCCATAAAATAGGAGCGGGTTTCTTGTTTACTGTCCTAAATCACGTACATGTCTCATGAACCAATATCAGGTTACATGTAGATAAGATTACCATCTAATCTATTAATAATATTATTGCGTCACGTATAAATTCATTCACGCGTTTAAATTCATAGCAAGTGTAATATCACGCATCATAGTCAGTGAGAGAGAGAGAGAGAGAGAGAGAGATATGGGGTTTAACGATCACTCGACACAAACTAGGTCATTTCAGGACTAACATATGGTTCAATTTTATTTCAATAATTCGCTTGCTCGTAAGATCTCGAGCAGTGGGAGGAAACCGGAGGACCCGAAGAAAACCCACGAGGTTGGACTGGCGACCCTATTCCTTGTCACGTACAACCGGGGAATCGAAACCACACCAGTTGACTCAATGACAGGACTTACGATACAACGCGCACGCGCTAACCATTCTGCTATACCCCCACCCCCAACACGGTGATATACCCTATGATATAAAGGTTAGACCACTCGACACTAGCCCTACATAAAGTTGTATAAAGTGTTAAAGACCATGTGGTATAAACTACGATCAGTATTACGAACAGTACATGGGCGTTAAACACCCAAGGGGCGCAGGCAGGATCAGTGTTACGAACAGTACCTGGGCGTTAAAACACCTATTAAGCGCAGGATCAGTGTTACGAATAGTAAGAGAAATGGGGTTTAACGTCCACTCGAGACAAACTAGGTCATTTTGGCACTAACATATGGCTCAATTTTATTTCAATAATTCGGGTCTTTTGCAGTGCGAGGACCCGGAGAAAACCCACTAGGTTGGATCTTACTTCTAAAACCGGCGAATCGAAACCACGCCAGTTGACTCATGACAGACCTTATGATACAACGCACACTCGCTAACCATTCGGCCATACAACAGCCCATCACGAATAGTACACGGGCTTATAATTGTAATCTATTAACGAGGCTTATAATTGTAATATTTTCAGTTTTCTTTTGTTTTGTGACTGTTCAGAATTTACAATCGTTTCCTATGAACACGATTCAGATCTAATGCGCATGCGCCATGGGTTCATTATTATGTAGGACTTTACTTACAATTTGTAGAAACGTTCAAATTCTTCTTTCTTAAACGCCTGGTACCTCTTGAAAAGTCCACAAAACAGTTTTATCTGAACACAATAACGTTCACAGTCGGCCTTTCGTGTCACCTTCAGTCTGAACACAACCGTCGTATATGGTTCAGTGTCTGTGATCTGAACATAAAAAGCGTTGAGATAATGTTAATTCATGTGAACGCACGACTTGTATAATACAGGTATGTTGATGTACATAATAATACAGAAGATAAAGATGATACAAGTGAACAGTGACTTGACGGTCACTGAACACTGTTTATAAAATACAAATGTGTGGCTATTTTTTAAACAGTGAACAGTGTTCAGTGATAGTCATGGTACTTGTTTGCTAGTATCATATTATCTTCTTTAAAATATATCATTTTAAAACAAAATTAAAGATGGGTTCCAGAAAAGTATTTATCGGGTGGTTATTGTCACAGTCGTATTTCATTAGTGTCACGTGCAGAACGGAGGGCCTGACAAGGACAGCTGTCTAGTCCTTCGGATGAGACGAAAAACCGAGGTCCCGTGTATACATTGGCGTGCACGTAAAAGATCCCTTGGCAGTTGGAATTCGATATAAGAGTAGGCGATAGTGCCGCTGCCCGGGCAAAATTTCCCTCATAGCACACTGTATGGCGTATGCCCGTCTTCATTAGCCCAGTTTAGGAGCAGAACAGTAGGACGTTAAACCCCATTTCATTTCATTTCATTAGTGTCACTATGGGTCGCCCAAACTCTGCCGCGTGGCTCGCCCAAACTATTTACCTGTAATATTAAGGCTCGCCCAAACTGTCTACCTTCAATGCACGTGCATACAGGTAGTATATAAACTGACAATCGGGCAGGTTTAGGAGAGGGATTATGACAGTTGGATTGGAGGACTCGATATTGCCATCGGGTACTTGGGTGAGTGAAATCGTTATGCTATTAATTTTGGTGTCTTGGTTCCGATGTGCAGGTTTCGTATATTTTACTCATCGTTGTATATTTTGTTAGTATGAGTAAATATTTCATGTATACTATTCAAAAAAAGTAGGGGATATTTGATTTTGGGGGCATAATACTAAAATATGCAAATGACTACGAAAAAAGTCACTATAGAACCTAACAGAAGAAACATTTCCAGTTACATGTGACGCCCAAACGCACCAATAGCTACCGCATGGAATGCAGGTGATGCTTGGGATCATCATGGGGGTCCAACCCAAGATTTGCACGACTCTGACTTTGAATGTTACAGTCATTGTGGCATTGAATTCCAGGGTGGAAACATCAGTTTAATTGTTTTAGTGACCAGAAAACAAATTTTGATATGCGTCGGCTTACCCAAAATGAAAGGTTACGTGCCCTTGGCATGCTACAGATCGGCACAACACAGGCGGTTGTGGCGCGGACGATGAATGTTTCTCAGTCTGTCATAAGCAGGCTATGGTCCAGATACCGTGATACACAATCTGTACAGGACAGACCACGCTCAGGTCGACCAAGGGCGACAACTCAAGCCCAGGATCGATTTATCCGTACCTTGGCCTTGAGAAATCGTGTCATCACAGCAAATCAGATCAGCGCTCGTCTTCAAACAGACACTGGTGTGAGAGTGAGTGGCCAGACGATTCGGAATCGACTGCATAGGGGTCACCTTCGCGCCCGACGTCCTCGCGTGATCCCTTGTTTGAGAGATCATCACATTCAGGCAAGACGTCGTTGGTGTAGGGATCGTCAACACTGGGATAATCGACGCTGGAGCAATGTGATGTTTTCAGATGAGTTAAGGTTCACTGTTGATTTTTTTGACAGACGTAGGAGGGTGTGGCGTCGTCGAAACGAGCGCTTCCAAGACGTTAACGTCATCAGACATGATCGATTTGGGGGTGGTTCTGTTATGGCGTGGGGAGGCATCACTGTTGCTGGAAGAACGGCTTTACATGTTGTTGCAGGGCGTGTTACAGGCCAGTACTACCGGGACAACATCTTGGCAGTCCATGTTGTGCCGTTCGCACGACGTCATGGCCGCCGTTTCATCTTCCAGGATGACAACGCAAGATGTCACAGGGCCAGGATCGTTACAGGTTACCAACAACAGAACATCACCACATTACCTTGGCCATCACTGAGTCCCGACCTCTCCCCCATCGAGCATGTCTGGGACATGCTTGGACAGAGGTTACGTCAACGTCAACAACATCCTGCCAATGTCCAAGAACTTGCTGCTGCGTTGCAACAGGAATGGGACAATCTGGACCAAAATGACCTTAGACGTCTCATTAGGAGTATGCCACGTCGGATCAATGCTTGTTTGGCAAACAGAGGAGGATTTACCCGTTACTGACTTGGTTGTGATGCTGTGGTAACTTTGCTGTTTGACCCCGGGTATCATTTTACCCTTATAATGGTCAGTCTGTGCCTTACTTAGTCTAACGATCATTTGGAATAAATCGATGAATGTGAACTTCATTTCATTTTGTCATTTGTTTCTTCGTCAGTTTCATTAGGTGACTTTAATAACACTAAAAAATCAAATATCCCCTACTTTTTTTGAATAGTATATTTGTTAAATGGTGTCGATATATGGTATTTGTTAAATGGTGTCGATATATGGTGATGCTGACGGATGGACATTTTTCCCTAGCTTCATAATTTATATAGTGCGCGCACTTTAAAGTGTTATATTGTATTTTGAGTTATATAAAATGAATTCTTTTGTATTTAGTTTCTTCATTTCCCCAAAACGGTCACGCCTCGCCCATCCTGTGACAGTTATTTCCAATAAAGGTATGGCAATTTTGGTATATATATGGAAAGTAGAGATATCCAATCTACTAGAAAAATACTGGTTTCCCCGAAAAAACATTCATGGAGCGTATACAGGACAAATGTAAGGGTTCCCCTAATCAACAGCCCGACGATTAGGAACTTCTGCACGTGTGATGTCAAAGGTCACAAGCGAACATTGAGCGCTTGATGTACAAGTTGATAAACTTTATGAAGCATTAGACACGTACAATACTTTCTGAGATAAAAATGACGGGGGAAAAAAGCGGGTAGTGGATAATCCGAGAATTTAATTAGGATTCGATATTTGTAATAGTAAGCGATTAAAGACAACATCGTCTTATGTTTGCAATGAATTCTCCTGACTCCCAAGACGTCAAGTAAACATGACCTGGTTTGATCGAATTTTAATAGCAGGGCATTTCTTCGCAATTACCATGTTTGGGAAGGATTTAAAGCATAATTATGACAATTAGTTTGAATATGTTTTTGGTCCATATATACCATTTAAATCACCCAGTTTATACGCGGGAACCCATCTTTAAAGATACATTATGGGAGATTAGATAAGAGCTGACAGTTCTCACTATAATAGTTAAAAACAATTTCAGTCAAATTGATTCAGTTTGAACCGAGATTTTAGCGATTGAATTTTCGGCCTTGCCTCGATCATCATTACTAAATTCGGTACTATAACAAACAGTCTCGATTATCCATTTCATGATTAAATCATGAATGGAAGTCGAACAGCAAATTGGAACCTAATCCAATAAACATCGTAGGCTAGCGATGCCATCTAGAGTTGATTATGATGTGGATAAGTTAATTAATGTCTAATTAATAATTTAGATAACATTTTTAAGGCCTACAAAAAGACCTGCAATAGGCAGATTTAGCTCCATGCATAATGTATGTTAAATAAAGGGGTGGAGATTAAATGGGGGTCCAAGTTCTACTTTCCTCTACTTACTGAGCAGACAAAAATAGACATTGGCCAATTTGGGAGAGAGTAGCTGGGCGCTGGCTGTTGGGGATTGCCCTGTGTAGACGGATTTAAGTGATCCTTTTAACATGTGTTCTTTGTTAGCCTGTGATCATCTAGTTTTGTCTCTGGCTCGAATATTGTTGTTGTTCTTTTCTTACGGACCCCATCGTTGTGTTTTCTGACGATACCGAAATCAAATATGTAACAGAAACAACAAAAGTTTTTTCTATACGTTTTTATGTCACTACTAGAAGAATGCCCGGCTTCGCTCGGGGGTCATAACCCCGAAACCGGAAGTGGTAGACTAACGCCACCTGGCCTGTTACTCCAGGTGAACTGCTTAATATATGTAACTAATTAACCACTAGTAGGAGACAGTTAAATAAAACAAAACACCTTTTTTTCTTTCTTTCAGCATTTAAAAAAAAAAAATAATCTCGGGCACCGGCCCTATCCCGGAAATTGCATAACCGGTCATATAGTTTTTCAGCGTCGGGTGTCTGGGGCCAGCCGTAATACGCGGCGTATTACCGATTGGCAGCTGCCCAGAGATGATCCGGTGAAATAACCGCTCAGTTGCCACTCTAGACTCTGGTAAAAAGGGGCGGCGGGTACCCACCCGGATGTCCCTGGAAAGCTGCGGGACAGGGAGGGCCCCGGTGCCAGAGACAGTGCGGGCACGACCGCTACAAGTGTGTGTGTGTTGGGGGGGGGGGGGGTCGGTGCTAGCAGCAGGGACTGTCTTCCCGGGGCCGTCCCCTCGGCGTTCTCTCCGGGACGCGGCGTATTACCGACTGGCGGTTCGACAGTTCCCCAGAGATGTTCCGGTGAAATACCCGCTCAGTTGCCACTCTAAACGCTGGTGAAAACGAGCGGCGGTACCCACCGGGATGTCCCTGGAAAGCTGCGGGACAGAGACGGCCGGTGCCAGAGGCAGTGCGGGGACGACCAGTACAGGTGGGAGTGTGTGGGTCTGGGGGGGGGGGGGTCGGTGCAATTGAGTGCAGGGGGGTCGGTGCTGGCAGCAGGGACTGACTTCCCATGATCGTCCCCTCGGCGTTCTCCTCGTCTGTGATGCGTGAGATGACCCTCCCTGCCCCCACAACGACCCCTGATCTGACAATTAGGGGCCATATAGTACGTCTATCACACAAAGCTGGGCTGTTGGAAGAGGCCCGTTACTAGCCACCGAAACTATGTTGTGGTTGTCCCTGGGTGTGGCGTTGGACAGATCCAGAACGGACATCGTGTCACAAGACCCAGACGTCGCTGCCTGCAATGAAGCAAGCAGCCAATTCCTATATAGGCTACCAGATCGCCATGGACCTGTTGGTGTGACCGTTCTTGATCGCCTATAGCTGACAGGTATTCTGCCCCATCCACGGACACCCTACTTTCCCGGAAGAGCCTAACTGCCCGAG